TCCTCCTCCTCCTCCCCACATCTGCTGAGATGGCCGTGCCAGCAGGCAGGAGAGCCTGTACGTGCTCAGCTTTCACTAGTTCCCCCCCAAGCCCCCCATGTTGGCATCTTCATGGGCCAGACCTCCAGAGGAGGCTGGAGCTGGAAGCTCTGTGCGTGCTGTGTCTCTGCTGTCCCTCCTTCCCCCCAGAGAGCCTGCCCTGCCCAACAGCCCGAGAGAAGTGCAGACCAGTGGTCTAAGGTGTCTGCAGCACTGGGTCTGCTCTGGGAGAACCTTGTGTGGGGGAGATGCTGAGAACCATCTCTGCGGGGTGGCTGCGCGACGGTGTCCGCCCTGCCCGTGGGTGTTCGGATATTTTTGTTTTTTAATGCCATCCTCTGAAGCGTGAGGCCACCACAGGGCTGATGGACCCCTTGGCTCAGCTCTGGAGCAACCTCCCATCAGTTGGAGCCCTACCTGCGTTTACTTGCAGGTGTGGACGTCGTAGACGCGTACGCACTCCTGGCAGCTCACGTAGCAGCACCAGTGGAAGATGCAGTGACACTTCTCCTTCCGTTTCTCAGTCCTGGTGTTGTGGCCGCGGCCGCAGCACAGCAGGTCGCAGCCGTCGATCCCGTGGGAAGTGACGTTGCACGTTCTGTCCCTCGTCCCAAAGGAGCCCGTCTCGGGGTTGGGCTCGCAAAAATTGGGCGAGTTCTCGTAGTAGACGAGATCCCGCTCTGTTGGTGGCTTGAAAAGAGCGTACTTGGCCCTAAGAGTTTCTACCCAGCCCCGAGATTCTCGGTGCTTTTCAACGACCATCTCGGAGGCGCTGTCGTATTTATCCTTCAGGTAGTCACCGATCGCCCGGAAATCGGGCTGAGCCCACCAGCAGGTCTTGACCTCGCAGCTTCCCGAGAGACCGTGGCACTTGCACTTCAGGTGCATGTGGTCCAGGATGGTCTGTCCAGGGGAGAGAAAACACGGCGGTCAGCAGCGCCTTACGATGCCCAGCGCTTGCTTTCAGCCACCGACCTTTGCTACCCGGGTGTAAATGTCTGGTGTGAGCTCGGTCTGGAAAGCGTAGGCTGGTTGTAAACGCACGGAAGCTTTGGTGTGTGTGGCAGAAACATCTCCAGATGGAGATGTCGCGTTAGAATAGGGTGACCGAGGTAGGCAGCTCCTCTGATCCAATCTAAGCCAATCCAGTCTAATCCCCAAACTGGATCCTGTCATTGGGGACCTCCCTGTTAACGTGGGTGTGGACAGTCAGAGCGTGGAGAATCACAGAATCCCAGAATTGTTGAGGCTGGAAAAGCCCTCAGAGACCATCAAGCCCAGCCCATGCCCCAACACCCCCCCAGGGGCCAGAGCAGGGCACTCAGTGCCACATCCAGCCTCTCCTTAACCCCCCTGCCCTGGGCAGAGCATCCCAGGGCCTGAGCACCCTCTGCAGGAGGAAGGGCTGCCCGAGACCCAACCCCAACCTCCCCTGAGGCAGTTTCAGGCCGGGCCCTCTCGTCCTGGAAGAAGAGCCCGACCTCCCTGACTGCACCCTCCCTGCAGGGAGAGTGAGAAGGTCCCCCCTGAGTCTTTTCTTCTCCAGCTGAACCCCCTCAGCTCCCTCAGCCTCTCCTCGCAGGACTTGCCCTCCAGTTCCTTCACCAGAGACTGATTTGCGTTAGAATTACCACTGTTTGGTGGGTTATTTTTACAGGAAGCTGTCAGTCGTTAACACAAATTAGAGATTGAAGCTTCTACCCTTCCGCCTCTGTGCGCTGAGGAAGGAAAAAGCGATATCGAGCGTTTGCTTGTTTGAGAGGTCTCGCTTTAACAGGGGTTTGCAAAGACCTGGAGCAGTGACCAGGTGTCTGCTGACAGCAAGAACAGAGTATTTTGGCTGGAAGGGTCTGACAGTCATAATTTGGTCCCACAAATCGCGGGGTAGGACAGTGTTACAAGAGGGAGCGTGCAGGAGGGAGTAGCTTGGGAGGGAAGTTTTCTTTCCCATTGACCCGGGCTCTTGGGCGGTTGAGTTGGCTTTCTTGGGAGATGTTTGTGCTGGAAGCAAGGCATGGTTTAGCTCTTCCTAACCCCCACTCGTCTGTTTGGGGAGAGTGGAAATGCTGTGCCCTGGAAAATAATTCTAGAAAGCTCCTGCCCAGGCATTATTATGGTCTCGTTACGTCAGAGGAGCCAGACTGGGGCGTCCATGCGGGCACGGCCAACCAGGTGTGGACGCGCTGAGCACTCACCGTCCTGCCGGCCTCGTTGTTGTGCCTGTTCATGGCCGAGCGGGCGTCCGGCCGGTTCTCTCGGGCGTCTGCGAATTCCCGGGACACCAGCACGCCGAAGTCAGCGTCCTCGCTGCATCCCCCCCACTTCCAACCGTCTCCTGGAGGTCCCTTGTGGTGGGAGTCGCAGCCGCAGATGGTGGACGTGCCCTCGGCGCAGGAGCGGGTTACGGCGAAGGCCACCCCAGCCGACGCGATGGCGTGGACGAAGGCGGACTCTCGCGTGGCTGGGAATAAACAGAGCCCGCGGGGTGATCAGGCAGCATGAACACTTCTGTTCTCCTTCCCACCCCCCCTTCAGCATCGTCTAAAACAAAAAGAATTATTTTATCAAATTTCTAACGAACGTTTGGTGGAACAGGTGCTGCTGGCATCGCCTCTGGAAGCCCACAGGCAGGAGAAGGTGGGAGAGAACCATAGATTCATAGAGTAGTTTCAGCTGGAAGAGACCTTAGAGATCATTGAGTCCAACCTCTGTCCCAGCCCTATCAACCCACTAAACGATTCCCCCAAACGCAACACCCAGCCGTCTCTTAAACCCATCCAGGATGGTGACTCAACCCCGTCCCTGGGCCGCCTGTGCCAACGCCTGACAAC